CGGGGCTTCAACTGAGATGGGCCGTGGAATCTTGAGTGACAGCCGAACAAAGAAGGCAGAAGACTCTCCTCAGTCATGTTGCCTTCAGGAAATGTAGGCAGGAACTGTGACTCAGTGCTTTCTATCCACAATATACTGTCTGTGATCTTGGCAGGAAACAAACTGCTACCAGTGACAAAGTTCAATTTAAAAAGTTTTGGACAACACCTGGCACTGATTACACTATAAGAGGCAAGGCAAGGCAAGTTTATTTGTATAGCACATTTTAACAACAAGGTAATTCAAAGTGCTTTACATAAAACATAAAAGCAACAGGGAAATATAAAAAAGTTTAAAAGCAACAGGGAAATATAAAAGTTTAAAAGCAACATAAAATATAATAAAAGTTACAGTGTTACAATCAGGGTTAAAAGAGTTAAATGGATAACAGCAATGATAAAAAGCTAAAAACAAAGACAAAGAAAACAGGACAGTAAAAGTTACAGTGCAGTGTAAGTTATCAATAAAAAGAAAAATCTTAAATATTTAATTAAAAGCAATGGTAAAAAGAAAAGTCTTCAGTCTGAATCTAAAAGAACTGACAGTTTCAGCAGACCTGCAGTTATCTGGGAGTTTGTTCCAAATATACGGAGCATAATAACTGAACGCTGCTTCTCCTTGTTTAGTTTTGACTCTGGGGACAGAAAGCAGACCTGCCCCAGATGACCTGAGAGGTCTGGATGGTTCGTAATGAACCAGAAGATCGGAAATATATTTTGGCCCTAAACCATTTAGTGCTTTATAAACTAACAGCAGGATTTTGAAATCAATTCTTTGACAGACAGGAAGCCAATGTAAAGACCTCAGAACTGGAGTGATGTGATCCACCTTTTGGTCTTTATGGCGTTCTGAACCAGCTGCAGCTGTCTGATGGATTTCTTAGGGAGCCTGTAAGGACGCTGTTACAGTAGTCAAGTCAACTGAAGATAAATGCATGGATAAGCTTTTCCAGGTCTTGCTGAGACATAAGTCCTTTAATCCTTGATATATTCTTCAGGTGATAGTAGGCTGACATTGTAATTGTCTTAACATGGCTCCTCAAATTCAGGTCTGAGTCCATGACCACACCAAGATTTCTGGCTTGATTTGTGGTTCTTAACATTACAGATTGAAGTCAAGCACTGACTTTCAATTGTTCCTCCCTGGCTCCAAAACCAATAACTTCAGTTTTATCCTTGTTTAATTGAAGAAAATTCTGGCACATCTAATCGTTGACCTGCTCAATACAGTTACTCAGCGCCTGTATGGGATCATAGTCCCCTGGTGAAATGGTTATGTAAATCTGTGTGTTATCTGCATAATTATGGAAAAATATTTTGTTGTTTTTCATAATCTGAGCCAGTGGAAGCATGTAAATGTTAAACAAAAGAGGTCCCAGAATGGAGCCTTGGGGAACTCCACATGTCATTTTTGTCAGCTCAGATGTGTAATTACCTATAGACACAAAGTATTCCCTGTACTTTAAGTAGGATTCCAGTTTAGTACTGTGCCAGAAAGTCCAACCCAGTTTTCAAGTCTGTCTAGTAATATATTGCGGTCGACCGTATCGAATGCAGCACTGAGATCCGATAATACTAAGACTGAAATTCTGCCACTGTCACTGTTTAAATGGATGTCATTGAAGACCTTAACAAGAGCCGTCTCAGTGCTGTGGTGTGGTCGAAAACCTGACTGGAAGACATCAAAACAGTTATTTAGTGCCAAGAAAGCACTAAGCTGTTGAAAAACAGCCTTTTCAATGATTTTACTTAAAAATGGGAGATTTGATATGGGCCTATGATTGCTCATTATCTAGATTGCTCTTTTTTAAGAGTGGCTTTATGACTGCAGTTTTCAGGGCCTGTGGGGAAAAACCTGAGAGAAGAGACATGTTGACAATTTGTAGTAGATCTGATGCCATGCATTTAGACACATTTTTGAAAAAACCTGTTGGCAGAATATCAAGGAAGCATGAGGAGGATTTCAGATGTTGTATTATGTCCTCCAGGTTTTTATGGTTAATAGAATCAAATTGTCTCATGCTATATGAATTGTTTTTAAGTGGACACAGGGACAAGACATATCCTGTTACTGACATGGAGGCACTGATTGCTCGTCTAATTGTTTGAATTTTGTCTGTGAAGAAGGAAGCAAATTCATTGCAGGCCCTGCTGGATAGAAGTTCAGAGGCTACAGACACAGGAGGGTTGGTTAGTCTGTCTACAGTAGCAAACAGGGCACGTGCATTATTAGTGTTTTTGGTGATGATGTCAGAAAAGAAGGACCGCCTTGCATTTCTCAGTTCTAAATTATAAATGCGAAGTCTCTCTTTATAGATGTCATAATGAACCTGGAGATTTGTTTTCCGCCACCTGCGTTCAGCTTTTCGACACTCTTTTTTGAGTTCTAACCAGCGTGGCATTTCTCCATGGAGATCTTCTCTTAAGAGCAATCACTGTGCCAGATCGTGCAGTTCAGCAGCAACACTTTACGAATGGCGTTTCTACTGAGTAACACTGCATTATGGAAAGGCCATGTTCATGTATGCAACATTTTACTGTCCTAATTTACCCATGCAATGCATGATGCTGGTAGGGACATTTCTACCAGGCTTTGTAGTTGCTAAGGAGACACATATTGAGAAACCATCCTGCTTCTGCAAAACTGATCTAAAATTGTATAACAGATCTGAAACTAAAACAAAAGTGAAGTTCTAAGGAAAAAGAGCTTTGATTCTGAAAACATAAAATGTGGAACTGAAAAGAACAAGTCCTTAAATATATAAAAGTGAAAAATTAAAATTAATAATTTATTCAAAACAATTCCAGAATTAAATCAACATTTTATGTAAACTGACAAAAAACAATGGCTGACAAAAGTTATTTTAAGGTTGTACATGGTTGTATTTTTCAAGTGAAAAAACAAAAAACAAAAACTAACTTTTCAAACTAACCAAACCTTTTGCCCAGATTTAGCTCCATACACTGGCTGAATTATGAGGGTCAAAGCTATGTCTTCACAAGGAAGAAAAAACTGTGGATTCTATTTTTAGACCAATTTTAGTTTTAGACCTTGAAAGTCTTGGCCAGTCATCGCTTCTTTTAAGGCCCATTTGAGGGTTAGGGTTTTAGGGCTTTGATTTTAGGATTAAGGTGGGATTAAAAAATTGTGAGTAGAAGTTTTGACCTCTGCTAACTTTCATCAGAGGCATCTACCAACACATTACAAAGAACATTGAAATTACATAAATGTGCATTAAAACAAAAAAGTGAATCATCCTATGACTTCATCACAGCTCTCTAGAGATGTCTAAGATCTAAGCTCTCTTTCCAAGCCTGTCATTTCCCCAAATTTCTCATATTTTCTGACCTTGCTTGATTTTAATTTAAAATATTGGTTTAAATAAAGTTCATGCCAGTCAGTCCAAACTCATGCTGTGTGAGCAGCAGTCAGTGGGGTCCTACCTGAGCTCCAGAGCAACATGAACACCACCAGTATGTGATCCATGTCCAGTTGGTGTGTTGTCCATATGAGCCTGTCACTCTGGCTTCCTCATTTACTCTTACTCTAATCTTATACTCTGTTACAGCTCTCCAATGGTTGTCAGATGTGCAGTTTCTTCCTCATCTTTAAACTTCCTTATCAGGATTTGTGTGGTTTCTTTCATAACTCAGGGTGGTGATGGTGCAATGGATATGACTCATGCCTTTGGTGTGAGCAACCCGGGTTCAATCCCCCACTGTGACCCATCCACCATTGTGTGAGCAAGACACTTAAGCCCTCGTTACTCCAGAGGCGTGCGACCTCTGACATGTATAGCAATTATAAGTCTCTTTGGATAAAAGCGTCCGCTAAATGTAACATGACTTCAACTCTTTGGCATTTGTCAACAGAAAGCTAATAATAGACTGACATCTGTCCCTTCTTGATGTTTTTATATAAAAATCCTTTACATTTTCATTAGTTAAAGAGGTGGTATTCTGCTCATTTTCAGGTTCAAAATCTTATTTAGGGGTTGTACCAGAACAGTCAGCTCCTCTTTTCACCCAGTGTGTTGTACGCTCCGCTCTTGAGCTGATTGATGCATCTTATTTGTACAAAATCTTTGTTGGGAGTTGCAAATGCGTAGTTCCCAGGTAAGGACTACTAGCCAATCAGAAGCAGAGAAGAGCGGGTCGTAAGAAACAAGGTAGTGTGATCCAAGTCAAAGCCGCTTCAGCCTGCGACCGTAACCTAGCAGATGGTATAAGTTACTCAGAAGTCCACAACCACACAACATCATTGTTCCACATCTTACTATAAACCACTACAAAAATCACCATGTTTCAACTCAATTTTACATAAAAATTGAACGTTTGCTCAGTAGCTTTCACATCAGGTAGCATTATAGCTATAACTTTAGTTGTGTTAGCAAAGGTTTACAACTCCGCACTTAAACAGTCTGTGAAGTTACATTGCCATGTTTATTTTAAATATAATTCACAACCAATAAAGCAAACTTACAGGTTGTGATTGTGAATTTCCAGAGTTGCATTGTCTTTTAGTACTAAACTTTGAACTGTCGCCAGTGTTTTGACGATCTATGCTGCCTTGCCGAAAAATGCTGCCAAAGCCCAAATAGATAAACTCGACTCTACTCGGCCCTGCTCCGTTTTCCTTTGCAGCGCCACACGCAACTGCCGCAACGTAGTTTTCAATGCGACCCACACAGCTGTCTCTTGATTTAAGTTAAAGCGTTTGAACCTTCCTCAGAATGTAAAGACAGACAAGCGGTATGAAAAGCTTCCAGCTGTGTTTTCCTCTGCCGTTGTTGCTGCAGCGGTCTGTGTGACGGCGGGAGCAGAGGGCTCTGTGAGCGGGCGGCTGGCCGGCCTCACGCGCTCCTCCCGCTCGTTGGCACAGGCTTCCCCCGCAGCCACTTGCGGAGCTCCTCAACTCCGAAAATATTCAAGCACAGTTTTGTTCCGCCATCACTTCTCGTAAAACTGTCAATATTGGAAATCTACACAGCTGATTTCACCTCAAAACTTCTCAGAAGTGGATTTAGTGATGAAATTCCATACGAAAACTGTAAAATATAAAACTTCCTGTTGCTGGCCTCTGTCGATTCTATCTGACCAGTCGGCAGTCTGTCGTGTTTTCACGTCACATTTTAGTATCCCTCAGCTCGCTTGGAACCTTGATGGAGGTGATCCAAAAAAACATACCTGGAAGCAGGTACAGGTGCAACTTTTCTACAGTGGAAAACCAAACAAAGGCGAGTCGAGCCAAAGGGCCTCCGCTGAAACTAGCTTGGTTTGAGGGCGTGCCTGACCCCGCTATCCGCTTGGCGAGCTTTATGAGGCGTATTCATTGTGACGTCACAAGTAAAGGAAGTGAAGGTCTGGACTACAAACGAGCTGTTTTCAAGCGGTCCAGAGCAGAGCTTTCTGTGGGAGATGGGAACTCCCTTTGGGCTGGACTTTGGGCTTTTTCACTTTGCAAACCTGTTACATGCACAAAAAAGATATAAACTCAATAAAGGAGAGGGGAAAAGCCTAAAAACAGAATACCACCTCTTTAAATTTCAGGTACTACAGCACCATTTAATTACTGGAACCAGACTGTGTTCTGCTGTTAGGGGAGCCTGAAGGGGAAACTATTTTAAGTATCAGTTTATCCCATTTAAAAGTGTTATAGGCCTGCTTTGAATGTTTTTACACTATCACATCACCCTAGATTTATTTCATTTGCACTGATTGCCAGTTTCTTCAAGAATGCATTTAAAAAAAAATCCTAGGCTTCTCAATACTTACAAGATATCATGCCACAGTACATTAGTAAAGTCAAACTGCTCCTGCAGTTTCATCCATTTCTCCACTGTTCATCTTGTAAATTTGAGGGGTATGTAATAGATGCATTTTAAAATGCTAGATTTTTTATTTCTCTGTTAACGTTAAAGTGATAAACTTTGTCTGATTTTGGTTCTTTATGGCTTATGGCTTTATGACAGTTTACTCAGAATAGGAAGGCCTGGACTGCAGGTCTTCAGAGATAAACAGAAATCTACAGTAAAGGACATATTTCTAGCAACGAACTAGTGAGGTATGTGCGACAGACATCCCCCATTCTTGTGTAGACCCACAAGCCCATTTTCATCTGTGAAGTAAACTTACTCAAAGACAGTTTTGGTTTTTCATCCTTATTTTATAAAGATTTCCATGCAACACGTATCTGCTGCCCTACACGGGAGATAGCAGCAGTGACCAAGGACAACCGAGCAGAGAGAAATTTAGGAAAAAAAGTAGGGATTCAGCAACACTGCAAGTGAAATCTTGTAGTTTTATACTGTTTTCAGTAATATCTATAATTTAGATGTATAATTATTCCACATCAATATATTCACATTTAACATGTTTGAATTTCTCAGCAGCCGAGTTCAATAAGAATCTTTTTTATCTGGCAGCATTGAGCCAGTTGATGAAATAAAGAAATAATACAATAATATTAGAAAATGCAGGAGGAGTACTGACAGCCTCATTTGTGAGTAAAGTTCATGCACACCAACCTGTAAAACCACTTCTCTGCTGTTGGACTGTGCATTGAATCAATGATACTGTGAGAGTAAATGGGATCCGGGGTCTTACAGATCTGAGTTTGGAGTTAACAGCTGTCTAAAGTCTTTCACTGTTTTTAATAATCTTATGTGTGAATCCACCTCGGAGATACTACTCATTCCTCTGGGCTTTAGCCTCTTCACCTAGCCAGCCTTCAGCACTGGAACCACCAAGAACATACTCATTAATCTCAGTGGTGTTCCCTTGTCCCAGCCTCTGGTTTTTGCTGGCCTGGAAAGACATGACAGCAGACATATTTTGTTATTGCTCAAATACCTGTTCTCTTCTAATTAAATATGTCATGCTAAAAACTCAATTTAACCCAGTCCTCCCCTGAATAAATATGTGTAGAGTACCTTGTAGCTGAAGCAGAGGGCAGTGATAAGTAACATCATACCCAGCTGGAGGACAACAAGTCTGATGATCAACTCTATTAGAGAGGCTGAAACAGATTTAAAGTGATCACATCTGATCATATGACATTTTAATTGAAGGTAAAGTTGCCATATGTCCCCAAGTAATGGTCAGTGTTTATCGTCTTTTATTATTAAATTTATAGAACAGATTCCAACGGCAGATTCAGATTTTCTAATAGGAGCTAAGTTGTAAATTTAGTTGAATAAACTGACACCAATGTGAGTAAAACTCTCTCAAATTGTTGTTTTGTGACACTGAAAGTGAGTACTAAAATGTGAAAGTTGAAAGAGCTGAGAACACAGTAATCTTAAGAGCTTTTAGAGAGTAATAGGAACACTGAGTGACAAATAAATAAAATAAATAATAAAAGTAATAATAATAAATAAAATAATTAGTCATTTAGCTGACACGTTTATCCAAAGCCACTTATAATTGCTGTGGATGCTTCTGGAACAGCTAGGGGTTAAGTGTCTTGCTCAGGGACACATTGTTGGTTTGGAATCAAACCCAAGTTTCCACACCAAAGTTGTGCGTCTTACCCACTGTTCCATCACCACCCCATAGCAACAAGAAAAAGAAAGCTAAATTTAGATGCAGACAAAATGAGATTCAGCTTTTTTGGTTACCTTAGTGTGTTTATATTGACCATGCCATGTCTAAATATTGCTTTACATTGTCAAATGTATCTGGACAGCTGTATGTGTATCAGCACAGCTTTAAATTTGAGGTTTTTAGCCAATTAAAATTTTTGAAGAGTGTTGGGCCATTCAAGTTTGTTTATTTTCTAAGGATATTTTTATTTAGAAATGTCTTCCTCTTATTTTAGTGCAAGGATGACACAGATTGGCTTGAAAGAGAAAGGTCACTTACTTATTCAATTAACTAATGTTCAATTCAAACAACTGGTAACTGCAAAATAGCTTTTTGATTTTTTTCTAAATACTGCCAGGTATGGGCCTTTGCACGAAACAGCGTCCCTGCATTAAATCCCCACAGTGCACAAGGCCTCTTACAGGAATAACAAATAGGCTGAAAGCAGTTAGACAAGTTTTATCTAGATTAGACAAACCTATTAATAAAACCTCCATGTTAACATAGTCAGTGTCACATTTCACTACGGGGCCCAGATTGTCTATGAAGTTACCTGAGACAGTGAGATGGAGTGGCTGGCTCTCAGAAGAGAAGTTGTGGGAGAAAACATAGATGTGATAAACACAGCTGTAGTCCCCTTGGTGGGTGTGGTCTGCAGCAGAGAACAGGAAATGGGCAGAGTGATTGACAGCTGGCAGGGTGTGGTTCTGCGTTGTGTCAGAGTTGGTGAAGATAAGCTGGAAGGAGCCTCCTGGATACTGTGGCAGGATGGAGCAGCCGATGGTGAAGGTGGAGCCCGTGAGCACCTGAAGTCCCTGCTGCTTGGCCTCAGAATCCCCGTCAGTGTAAGTAGAGAAGGAGATGTTTGGCGAAGCCAGAATATCTGCAAACACAGCAGGAGATGAGAAATGTACTCGAACCCCCTGCTGCTTAGCCTTGGAGACTTGGCTGAGCCAGAAAATCTGAAACCAAAAGGGAGGTGATTAGCTAGCAGACATGTAAATACATAGAGTTTAAGGGGCCTTTTTATTGGTGCAAATAGATTTTATATATTATATATATATAATATCATAGATTAGATGGTGTGGTGATTACACACTCGCCAATCACATTAAAGCACGACAATAATTGCTCAGCAAATGTCAATGCTTCTTCAGGAAATCACATGTTGCAGTGTCACATGATGTGAAGACACAGCACCCCAAATAAGCAACCACAGACATAAACTAAAAAACAGCCTCGCATGAGTGACACACAGGAATGTGTGGTCACATGATGTGATTTTATTGTCAAAAGTCTGTGTCGTTTCTATGTGTTTATTGTTGTAGCAGAGCCTAATTTAGTTAATTTGATGTACATTTATGTTAGGAGCGTAATGTCTTCAGTACGACAGAAGCGAGGAAGAGAAGCGCACTACCTGTTCCTGCTATCCACAGAAAATCATAATCTGCATACAGACCTCACGTCCGGGGCCTGTGACCCACGCTTAGTTTCATCCCTCCCAGTAATCTGTAGTGATTCGTCAGCAAACACAAAGCACAGCGATCTCCCACATGCATCGGTCACTGAGAAGGCAACTAAAGATGTGATTTTACAGTGTTACCTGAGCATAGCACTTCAAGGCTGGTGTAGGTTTCATTAACACCAGTCAGCATCATACACTCCAACAGTGCAGCTGCCGAATGGGCACAGGAAGGCTTGAGCCACCACACAAGTCTGTCTGGAGAATCATATGTCACTGTTGTTGAAACAGCAGAACCACAATCCAGCAGTCTGCACACCGTAGCTGCAGACGTCTGGTCCCAGTCAGACCCCCAGTCCGCCACTGGTCTCCACTCTCCGTGGTTTTTCATCTCCAGCGTACCTGCGCATCGGCTGGCCTCTCCCACCAACCTGACATTGTCCGGATCTGAGCAGAGACAGGGCAGTAATTAGTAGAGGAAGTGAGCTAGTAATGAAAGTCAAAGCTGCAGCTTCTCTCCTACCTGAGCAGGTGAGTCCAACAGCTTTGCCAGGTGAGCAGGTGTTTGTGGCTGAGCCAGACCCTCCACAGTCCTGAAGAGCAGACTCATGGCCTCCACACTGGAACGCTCTGGTCCACACCGGACCCTCCGCTTCTCCATAGAGCGCCCCCTGGAGGACTAGAGGAGCCCCACAGCCAAGCTCCCTGCAGACCACCTCTGCATCCTGCAGGTCAAAGTCATCTTCACACACTGAGGACCAGGACAGGTCAGACTTCACCTCCAGTCTGCCTGAGCAGACACTCCCATTAACCAGCCTGACAGACTCTGTGGATACGGAGGGAGAAGGAACGAGACAGAAAATTTATCTGGGCCCGGGTCACGGTGGCCACAGGCTAAGACTGTGTAACAGTGAGCCCAGCCTCCCTATGAAGGGAATTTATTTTGCACACACTTATTCTTTGGGTCTTACATTATATCAGCTGTTGTGATTAGGTAAGACTTTGGTAAGGCTAGTTGTTGGTTGGTGGATTGTGTAATTTTTCTCTATTCTTTTTAATATTCTTAGATAACTTGCATTGTCTTTTCCATATTTATATATTTCTACATTTATTTATGGCAACTGCATGTTTGTCTACGTGCAGCACCTCATCAGCAAAGCTAATTCCTTGTACTTGGCAATAAAGCTCCTTCTGATTCTGATTCTAATAGCTTGTTATTACCTGGTACCACCGTAACCAGTTAAGCACTCGATCATAAATGAATTGTGAACGCACATGGGCTGCCTTCAGGCTCATGTCCCTCTTCTCCCTCACACTCCAGTACAGTGTCCACATTACTGCGGACGCTGCACCGGTGTCACATTTCATCCTACCCTCACTCTTTAACACAGACCAATATCTGTAGACATTACATCCAAATTAGATAATTTCCTGCCACACTGTTGACATCCAATGCCAGGAGACCGTCACAAACCTGCAATTAATGTTTGTTTTTATTCACCTTAACCATACCGTAGGGGCAGTTACTCAGTCCCCACCTGAAGGGATCTATTCCCTGTATTCTGGCAGAGTATCACAGTCTCAAACTTGGAGGTGCACACGCTTGGCTGAAAACCACCCGAGTGAGCGCTGCATAGTCTGATCAGAATCGGTGTTAGACGCGCAACCCTGCCAGAGACCAATGAGCTAGTCTTCCTGCTGAGAATGCAGAACTGCTCTCACTCCAGTTACATAATAAAAAGGAAGAGGGAAGGTGTGAGACAGTAAGAAACAACATCTCCTGCTTTCCCACTGTGTTTGTGCTGGATAACTTTACAGTTTGGTTTAATCTACTACTGACAATGTAACACAGCAATGTAGCCTCTACCATAGGAGCCATTAATGGTGTTACCTGAGCAGGTGATTTCCAGGCTGGAATAGCTGGACATATCCGTTGTTGTCACACATTCCTTCAGTGTAGTTTTAGACTGAATGCATGAGTTGATCCACCACACAGGTTGTTCTGAGGAATCCATTTTCTTTATTGTTGAAACAGAGGATCCACAGTCCAGCCGTCGACATACTGCAGCTGTTTCTTTCTGATCCCAGCCTACGTTGTCCACGGATTTCCAGTCTCCTTGGTGCTTCAGCTCTAGTCTACCAGTGCAACGGCTAGCTCCTCCCACCAACCTGACTTCATCAGGGTCTGAACAAAGAAAAGCAAATGATTACGGAAAGAAGGAAAGTGACCTAAATAAAAGAGAAGCAAAACCAAAGCTGCAGCTCTACCTGAGCACGTGAGTCCAACCGCTCTGCCAGGTGAGCAGGTGTTTCTGGCTGAGCCTGAGCTTCCACAATCCAGGAGAGCAGACTCGCTGCCATCACACTGGAGAGTCCTCATCCACACTGGAGTCTCCACTTCTCCATAGAGTCCCCCTTTGAAGACTGAAGGAGCCCCACAGTCAAGCTCCCTGCAGACCACCTCTGCATCCTGCAGGTCAAAGTCATCTTCACACACTGAAGACCAGGACTGGTTAGACTTCACCTCCAGTCTGCCTGAACACAGGTTAGTCCCGTTAACCAGCCTGACAGACTCTGGAGAGAGAGAGAGAGAGAGAGCGCAACTTTATAATGTTGACACACCAAATTCTTCACACAGTTCCCCTCATCTCTGTAGTGGAGGCGGAAGTAACAAGATCTTTTAGTACTGACCTAGATTGTGATTTAGTTATTCTACAGTTAAAGGTGCCCTGTGAAGTTTTCTTGTAAACAAACAAAAGTAATGTTTACATTGTGCATCCCTGCGGTCAACAAAAGTCTTGAATGAATTCAATTCCTCAAAAAACATCTGCAAAGCCAATTTTTTATTATTCATTTCCTGCATTGTTTACATCCCCGTTTACTAGCTTGTATTCTTCTGTTTTCCTGTCTTTGTTGGCGCATTGTAAAGTTTCTAGAAATCCATTCTGTGGTGTGGTGTCCATCCATAAGGTGTCTCTGTAAATCTTGTATCTTGTATTGTAAAATTCTGTATATCTTACTGAATGTGTTCTGTACGCATTTGTCATGATTAGTGGTGTGGAGGCAGGTTGGAGGACCCAAACGCAGGACACAGAGCGGAGCAGGTATAGTTCAACGGGGGTTTATTGATGGAAAACAAACTAAAGGCGAGCACACTTACTGACAAAGTCCAAAAAACAAGGTGATCCTAACAGAAATCCAAAGGTACAGAGAGACAAGACAATCTCTTAATGTGTCGATGCTTTATTGATGCTTGTATGTTGTTCCTCAACTGTAAATCGCTTTGGATAAAAGCTTCTGCCAAATGAGTAAATGTAAATGAAAAGACTGTGTAAGGAGGTGGATGGAATCTCCTCAACCATTAGGCCTAGATGCATAATTCTGGTCTTCTTTGAAAGGTCAGAAACTAAGGATTTTACCATTACAGACTAAATGGAGATGCAATAAAGAAAAAATAGGATATTTTCATCCTCGCCTGGTAAAAAAAAGCTCTATTTTAATGCAATAAACCGTCAAAACCATCATAAGATAGATTCTAATGCACCTGAATATATTTTAAATACACCCAGAATGCAATTTTAACTGCAAATTTGATGAAACTAAACTAAAATACCACAGTTATCATACAATATCATTCAAAATATACCAGGTGAATGGCCATATTTTGGCAATATTTAGTTTAAATGTTGACCTTTATTGGGAGTTATCTTTAAACATTTTTATTTATCCTCTTAACATTCCAGCGTCGTTAGGTCCTGGCAGCAGCTTTCGGTCTGTGCACGCAGCTGCTATGTTAACTTCATACTCATATGTTCCACCATTTGAAAGCTAAAATGCTCGTGATTCAACCAAAGCAAACCATTTCAAGATACAGTCACCACAGCAGGTCCAAATAGTGCCTCTGTCAGACCAGCCAGGACAATCAAAAGAGACGTAATCCACCAATCGATTATATTCCAACAAAAACGGTCTTGTTACGTTTTCAAAGGTCCAGACGATCCAATCCAGTAAAAACATTTAGTCCAAAACACATTATTCCATCAGTAAATCCCCAGGGCTGCCGCATCGTCTCAGATTCACCGGCAGACCTGACTCGTATGTCATTATAACCGGAATAACTCCGATTTGAATGTAAACAACTACGTTAGCTTGTATTCAAATTAGCCGCTGAACCCTGACCTTTCGACCGACAGCTAATTCGACCCAATAGGAGCTCACATGTCCCTTTCACAGGATAAAAGCGTCAGCTAAATGTAAAATGATATATTAAACCTGCATCAACTGATTTTGTGGGCCACTTGGGTGAAGGTGAAACATGCTGCGAACACAACATTGACATATTATCGCTTTTTTAAGTTCATATGGCAAACGTGTTAGCGAACAGGTGGTTTACAAATCAAGCAAACAAAGAGGAACACTAGCATTCATTTGGAGTCTTATTTCTGGCCACCTGGGAAAGTATCTGGCTCTTTAGCTGCTAAATGGTGCTGGGCAATTCAGTGTGTTTTCACTGAAAGCAGCCACCTGCCACTGGAAACAAAGCTGATCTTAACGACCCTGAAACGCTCAGTAGAGCTGAGGGGAACTGCAGAGTCTGGGATTATTCTCTGTCGGTTCGTCACTGCCAGCATCTTTCATCTTTCATCCTTAATGAACTAAGCAACATTTACAACTATATTTATATTAAGATTTTAAAGTGAAGACAGATCTGCATACTCATCCAGTTGATCAGCTTGTGTTGCAGCGTTAAGTCTCCAGTGTCAGGTGTTTGTTTGTTTGTTTTAAGTTTATTTAAATAAATAGGGACAGATACAAAAACATAGATAAACTTTGACAGACATCTGATGTGTGTATCATAGTGTTTTTAGCTAAAGCTAATTCACGACACTTGTCCCTAGTAGGGCTTTTTGATTAAAAAAATACAGTTTGACAAAACAAAAAACAAAACTGAAGTACAATGGAAGAAAATAAAAAAGGATACAATATTACAGATTGGGCAACGTGTAAAGACTAAATATGAGAGCAGATCACTTGAAATGTATCCCGACATTAGCCTCCTTAAAAAAAAACACTAAATTGTTAACCACGATTTAGTGTTTTTTTTTAAGGAGGCTAATGTCGGGATACATTTCAAGTGATCTGGTAGAGAATTCCATAATTTTGTCCCTTTTACTGAAAAAGAAGCCTGGGCAAATGATGTTCTTCGAAAAGGGATACTACAATTGCTTTTTGACGCTAATCAGGTGATGGATCTGGTACTTTGCTGTCTTGTTATTGTTTTGCAAAGTGGTGGTGGAGCAGCGTCATCTAAGCATTTGAAGACCAGTTTAACCAGATGCAGGGAGATAAAATTAGCCAAAACTTAAAATCTTTGAATTTGGCAGTGATGATATCTTATTCTCTTGTCGTCCACAATTTTCAAGGCTTGGTTTTAAAGACACTCTATGGTTTTGACTGATGAGCTTGGGACCGTGTGGTTAAGCCATAGGATATGTGTGAGAGGATCATAGAATTTAAAAAAATAAAAGCACAGTCAAAAGTCAAGCAGTTTCTTATCATCATAAAACAGCTCAAGTTGGTAGTCTACAATTATTCCCAGATACTTCACTTCAGGTACTTGTTCAATAAGTTCCCCATTAATTTTTACATTCAAAAGTTGTTAGAGGTAGTTTTTTTTAAATGGAAAAGCAGACAGAATTTATTTTTTTTTGGTGTTTAAAGTTTAACAAGATGAGGCCAGCCAAGATTATATTTTTTCTAAGTTAGCATTTAGTTTGTCAGCCACAGAAATACAGGTATTACCAGATGCATACACCACTGTGTCATCTGCATACATCTGTAGACCTATATCGGGGCAAGTCATTGATGTAGAGACAGAAGAGTATGGGTCCCAAGACCGTGCCCTGGGGAATCCCTGTTTTGATTTTAAGATAAGCAGATCTCACATTATTAATCACAACATACTGTTCACGGCCTTTTAAATATGATTCGAACCAGGACAATGACTGTTTAGATAAATTAAACTTAGCTAGTTTTGAAATTAAAGTGTTATGATTTACTGTGTCAAATCCCTTTTTTAAATCTAGGAATACTGCACCAACTACATTTCCCTTGTCAAGTCATTGTTTGATATTTTCAATTAATAAACAAGTAGCGGATTCTGTAGAATGGTTGTGCCTGAATCCAAATTGCAGAGGACTCAGATACTGGTTTGTCTCAAGATAGTACATGAGTTGTTCTGAGACAATCTTCTCCAAAACTTTAGACAAAACTGGTAGAAGACTGATAGGTCTGTAATTACAAGACATTTTGTGAGGTGAATGTCACATGACAGTATTCTGAGGCACCTTTCACTAACAATCCTACTTCCCTATCTTTTACGTTATCATTAACTCACTCTCTAACTGTTGGGTTTAAACAACAGATGCCGGACAGATCAAGACACTGTAATGATTACAAGTAAATATCGCTAAAGGTGTTACCTGAGCAGGTTATCTGTAGGACGGAAGAGGAATATAGAAGTTTTGTAAAACATTTCATCACTGTAGATGCATCACAGTCAGATTTCTTTCCCCACGTATGTTTACTATATGAGGGTGTCTTTATTCTTCTGGTGGAAAGAGCAGAGCCACAGTCCAGCTGTCCACACACTGCGCCTGCTAACCTCAGGTTCCAGTCCCTCTCAGCCACTGGTTTCCATTCGCCCTGTTGTTTAATCTCCAGCATGCCACTACACCGACTGGCTCCTCCAACCAACCTGACATCACCAGGTTCTGGGTAGAAACAAGACAAAACTGAATTTCCTTCATCCAAACAGAAATGAACCAAAACGACCGCTGCAGTGACTGGGAGGGCTGTAGGCTGGGTTCACCTGGACAGGCCCCCGTCCGGTCAAACATGGCTGACACATAGAGACAGTCACACACCTACGGGCGGGCAATTGGCTTCAAACATATATTAATAGAAACTCTACTGGTGGTAATGTTTCATCCTACCTGAGCAGGAGAGCTCAATGGCTTTGCCAGAAGAGCAGGTGTTTCTAACAGAGCTGCCACAGTCCCAGAGAGCAGACTCATGGCCTCCACACTGGAACTCTCTGGTCCACACTGGAGCCTCTACTCCACCATACTGCGCCCCCTGGAGGACTGAAGGAGCCCCACAGCCAAGCTCCCTGCAGACCACCTCTGCATCCTGCAGGTCAAAGTCAGCTTCACACACCGAGGACCAGGACTGGTTAGACTTCACCTCCAGTCTGCCTGAACACAGACTAGTCCCTTTAACCAGCCTGACAGACTCTGAAAGTGAGGAGAGAGTAACTCGTCACCTTCAACAGTAGCGGTTTAGTATGTAGCAGACCAAATAACAATAAGACACATTCTGTAGTTGTTTGTTAAACTGTGGATTTTGCTTTCTGAATTTACAGCTGACTTTTAAATGATTTACTTCTTCAATTCAATTCATACTGCTGACTTAAGGAAGTATTGTGTAAAATCTTACACACACCCCTACTGTAACATGATAAAACAGGACTGAAATACCCCTGCAAAAGCATCGTTGTTGACAATGTTTTGTGGAAGTTTTGTGTGAAACAGCTGAAATCCTGCATGCTATGCGGAGTGCTGCCAGCATTGCTGCAGAGGTTGAAGGGGTGGGGGGTCAGCCTGTCGGGGCTCAGACCATACACCGCACACTGCATCAAACTGGTGTGGTCGACCCAGAGGGAAGCCTCTTCTAAGGATGATGCACAAGAAAGCTGCAAACAGTTTACTGAAGAGCAGCAGACTGAGGACATGGATTACTGGAACCAGGTCCTGCGGTCTGATGAGACCAAGATAAACTTATTTGGTTCAGATGGTGTCAAGCGTGTGTGGCGGCGACCAGGTGAGGAGCACAAAGACAAGTGAGTCCTGCCCACAGTCCAGCATGGTGGTGGGAGTGTCCTGGTCTGGGGCTGCACTGAGGGGAACCATGACTGCCACCATGTACTGTGACATACCCCTCTCTCTCCCCATGTCTCATGTCGGCATCTATGCTGCCCACAGTCTAATTAAGGCTGTTCACCTCTTGTTTTAACAGTCAGTTTAACAACAGAGCCTAGCCCTAAGAAAGTACTAATTTTAACACAAACCATTATGTTTTCCTCACAGTTAATGACACTGACCTGAGCAGGTGATCTCCAGGCTGGCAGATGAAGATTTAGCCAGCCTCAAGCCCTGCATATAGTCAGTAAATTCAAGTACCCCGTTCATTTTAACAGAGGAACCCTGTGTTCTTCGTAATGAAACAACAGAACCACAGTTGAGCTGTCTGCACACTACAGCTGCCGATGTCAGGTTCCACGCATAGATCTGGTCATCCACTGCTCTCCACTCTCCCTGGTGTTTCTTCTCCAGGTTACCTGCACAGTGGCTGGCTCCTCCCACCAGCCTGACATCATCAGGCACTGCTGAACAGACACAAAAATAGTCAGTAAATGAGATACGTAACATGATATTAATGTATTTATTGTGAACAAGACATTGGTTTTATTTCTCCTTTACCAGTGGAACTATGTGGGACTTCAGTCCAGAGCCCTGAGGAGAAGAATTAACAATCATTTAACATTTTTAAGTCTGTCTTCTCCAAACTAACTTCCTCAACATTTCTGTTTTAGAGGTACAAGAAACTCAAAAATCATCATGAAGATATTATCTTTATTTTGCGGTTCGGGCACTTCTGGCATCATTAACACAAAGCTTACTGGGATAAAAGGGCAATAATGTGTCCCCTTAAAAGCAGGCAAATGATTCTTCTACACTGTTTTTCAACCGGTCCATAACCTAGGTTATTTGTGTGCATACAAAATAACTCACCTCGGTTTAAATGTGAAACAGTTTTGAGTGTATGCATACAGAAGCCCTGATATCCCTGTAACATGCAGAGACTGAGAATATATGTGGCAGCATTTATTTTAGTCAATTTAACATGTATGTTAACATTAGGTCATACCTATAGTTACTATATAATTTTTAACTATTGCTCCTGCATCTTCTATTTCTGCCAACAGTATTTCTATTTAAACCTTACTAAATACATCTTTGAATTGATTATATACATTCTGTTGTAGCTACTCAACAGTGAGATTACAATACTGTAAATGACTGTCAGTCTGTGTCATCCTGTCCAGATGTTTTCCAGGTGCGGGAGGAATCTGACACTCGGAGGCATCAGTGTCGCTACACCTAGCAGGACCAGAGTGTACGTGGTACGTATTTAAATTCTAACTGTCTCTGCCTCTGTGGTGGTGAATGGACTGCCTTTCTAGTGCTCGATCAAAGTGCTGATTGGAAAGTCAGCCTTCTGTTACCTGAAGAGTATATAAAGGATTAAACTTGTCTTGTCTCAGCCGGGTTTGGAAAAAAACGCCCAAACACTTATCTTCAGTCGACTCAACTACTGTAACCATGTCTTTACAGGTCAGCTCAGACAGCTGCAGCTGATTCAGAACGCTGCTGCGCGTCCTCACTAAGACAGACTATTTGGATCACATCACCGTCCAGACCTCTCAGCTGGTCTGGGATCAGGTCTGCTTTCTGTCCCCCGAGTCAAAACTAAACCTGGAAAGCAGCGTTTAGTTTTTAGGCTCCATATATCTGAAACAAACTCCCAGAAAACTGCAGGTCTGCTGAAACTCTCAGGTCTTTTAAATAAGACTGAAGACTTGTATTTTAGCCGCTGATTACTATCTTACACTGCACTGTAACTTTTACTCTACCTTTATATGAACATCCTGGGAGCGTGCCGTAGTTGATAACAGAAGTGTCACTTCAGGGCTGCTTCTCCCAGCTCTCTGCATCACTTACAAAGTTTTACCCCATGCAAACGTCATTAAACCACAGTCCTACCTGAGCACCACAGCGACAGAAACACAATCAGCACTCTGAGATCCATGTCAGTGAGTCTTCTTCACGTGCTCTCGCTTGATCTCGTCTTTATAAGGTTTGGAGTCAGGTCCAGCCCTGAGGGGGATTTCTAGTTTTTTTTACCATTTCCTGTTGGCCTCTACTTTGGGCCATCACGACGCTGTACTTTGGGCTGTTTTCTCTTAGTGCATGACATTGATATACTTATATTTTGAGGCATCTATTTGGTGAAATATGTAAATTTAGATACAACTAAATTCATTCTTGAGGAGACATGACATTTGGCAGAAGGTTTCCTGAAACACAAGGCAAAAATGTGTTTGAAAATTCAATATATATAATTATATAAATATAATTTCCTCCTGACAAATTCATAGCAGTGCTGTGTTTAAGCACTTAATAATGAATATGTTTACATGCTTACAATTTTCGGCTCTTCCTCAATGGCTAAATGAAATGAAATAAATGATACACAGATAGTAAATCTCATGCAGAAATGAAAGGGAGTGTCACGACCTAGTCACTGTTAGAGCTGGAGATTATTTCCTTGCATTGCACCTGGACGCCATTGTGTCTGCTCTGTGTTCTGACACCTTTCTATCAGAACCAGCATCAGCTTTTTCAGCAGTTTCGCCTTGGCCGTCCATGGTTCACGGCTTTTCCTTCCTTGGACCACTTCTGATAGGTGCTGACCGGTTTGGAGATGTTCTGACCCAGTCGTCTAGCCATCACGGTGTGGTTCTTGTCAAAGTCACTCAGTCCTCATGCAAGCCCATTTTTCCCGCTTCTAACACGTCAGCTGTGGGGACACAATGTTCACCTGCTGCTTAATGTATCCCACCCACTGACAGGTGCCCTGTTAACGAGATAATCAGTGTTACTAACGTTACCTGTCAGTGGTCATAATGTTATGGCCGATCGGTGTAGCTTTCATCATTTAAAAAAAATAAAAAATAGGCTCTCAGGATGATTCTGAACTCGTGTCTGAACTAAAGCCATTACCTGTGATGAAGGGTCTCAACCTGACATTGAATACATGGCAGAGTTCCAGGCGCTCACAATCACAACACCAGAAACATCCTGACTGTTGCAACATGCCAGCGCTGCTCGTGTAGTCAGATGCTTCACTTCCTCTCCATCGTTTAATCATCTCATCGCTTTTATGTGGTTTTGATCACAAGTCCCACGTTTCCCGCCGGATGTACCGACATGAGGCTGCTGTTTTTAAGTGCATTTCATGTACAACACAGAAGGCGACATGTCATTCGTTTCATTTCAGGCATTGCACCTCCAGTAAGTTATTGGACCTGGCCGTCCAGACTGGAGTGGGGAGCTCTTCCCACCGGGAGACAGAAAAGTCAAATATAATCTACAGTAAGATCCCATTTTGAAGCCTTACGCTAAGATGCTGAGTGATTTTTATCTGAATTTATGTGTTGAGCAACAACTTCAGTGATGCCTGTGATGCTGCTGATAATTAGGTGAAATGTATTAGCAACCAGTAGCCTACAGACCACAAAGATGTTGACAACACTGAAGTGGTTCTTGGTCAACTTTCCTGGAAGAAAGATGGCAGGATAATGATTTAATAAAATAACACGTATCTTGCTAAGGATCATTAAAGTGTTTTTGCTGTGCTACGCTAAACAGACTGATAAAATCTGTGAGCTGTGTTACGCGTAATAATAATAAAACGATGAGACATCATGGGTTCTTACCTTCCTGATAACTGGAGGCCTACTAATTTCCTTTAACTGCTGCTCACTTGAGTTTTTAATCAAGAAAAAGGAGGAAATTGCGCATTTGTTGGAGACTATTTTCAGGGGCGGATGAATCCTAATGTGGGGCTCTAGTGAGTATTTGGGGCAGCAGGATGGAGTCAGAAAAAGCTGCAGTGTGTGTGTGTTCATGGTGATGAGGGAGGCTGACTGATTCAGAGGAAGAAGAGACCAGATCAGGCTTCTTGTTAGGAGTTACACTCACTGGTGATTCGTTGACAATAAGGAAAATAACTAATAGCACCAGACCTTTACTTTGTCATCACTGCTTTTCTACAGAAAAGACTCTCCCAACAGATTTGTCTTCTTTTAATAATAAAATCTTTATTCTCGGGATTTGGTTGTAGGAAACATCACACAGCCCGGCGTTACAGCACAGTTACATGTCGTTTGGTCAGTCAGACAGAGAGCCCACTGCGGGTGAGGAAACCTTTTAAGGTGGGAGGTGAGCACGAAGAACAGGGTCAAAGAACAGGAGAGTCAAAAAGCATCTTCAACCACGTACTACAACTGTTTCTAGGCTTCGTGCTTAGTTTCTCCAAGACAAACGCTTTGCTTTGAAGTTGCTAACAATAGTTTTTGCTAAACATCAGTATATTTGGGAAGACTGTGCAGTAAAATCTAAATATAGAGCTGTATTGAGGTAACCGTTTAACACAGCGTTTTTAGTTACATAAATACCAACTGGACCCTACTGTAAGATGCTCGTTTGCACTAGTTTTTATTTTGCATTGTGGGATACATTTAGCCCACTGAAATAGTGGTAATAGTAATAATTAACCCCTGCCAGACGATCAAACCACAGAACAGAAGTGAACTGAAATGAACTCTGCACGTAGACCAACAAAGTAGATTTCTGTGCAGGCTCTTCAGTAAATAAGTGACAGTAAGTTGATTCAGGGTTTACCTGCATACTTCAGCACAGGGGCCAGCAGACCTCAGGGAACCTTAAAGCTGAGGTCAGTGATTCTAATCCAACACACACTGTTCCAGTCGTTCTAGTCATGAATTGTGTGTCAGGTAACGTTTAATGTCTTGCACACGGTTATTCAGCTTCCTTTCTAGTTCACCAACTCATGCTGTTGTTGTGAGTATCAGAGTCTGGGGCCGTTGGCTGCAGCCACAGTTTGCTAATCTACAACGTAGCTAATGTTAGTTAGATTACTTGCTGTGTCGTTGTTCTCTCCATATCACGGTGTTCGATTTCTCCAGAATTGCTTACTGCACCTTTAAGATCGGGAATTGAACAGTAATAATGAAAAACACTTTAACTAACTTAAACTGTGTAGGATACGCAGTTTAAATTTGTTGCTACAGGATGGCTCTGATTAAAAGATAATACCATTTAATTGTGATGATCAGCTGGCACTCTGATCTAGACTATCTGACAGTGAGTATGGCAGGTGTTTAAGGACCGGTATCAGACCTGGGACCTTTCAGAAACTAAATAATTCCTCTAACCGGGTCAAAACTGGAGCGGGCACAATAGCTGCTCTCCTGTTCTTTCATCCAAGTGAACTGTAAACTAACTAAATGGAAGAAGCTCCTCTGATCTTCATATATAATCCATGTAACCGAGGCAGTCTGAGACCAAACATGAAGGCCTTTTGGAAGCAGAACACACATCTCACAGCTAAGAAAGATAATTATCTGTCCTTAAATTTGATTAATGAACCCTTTAGCTCACTTTTCCATCACGCGCAGTAAATTGAGCAGAAACCTAAACAAAACATGTCACTGCGTTTAAAATACTTTTATTCTAATTTGTGTAAAAGCTGTCGTTGCATCACAGACATGTTCCATGACCAGGATGTGGCTGACAGAAGACTTTCTGCACTTCCCACCGCCGGACAGGACAGCGTGACTGTGGAGCCGGTTTGAGTTGAGCCCACATTCAGTCCCCTCTTATTCAAGTGTCCCAGTGCACTCGAGATGTAAATGTGCCACATGAAATGCACGACTCTGTCCCTCCATCGTCTAGTGTATCTTCAGTGTTTTTATCTCCACAATCTAGTCAGTTAGTCAGCGTTTGTGTGGAAATTTGTAAGAGGGTGACGCCTTTTAAAGCACACGAGCCTGTCACAAACAAACGAGCGATATCATGGGCTGAAACTGTATCTTTGTGCCTCTAATGTGGGAAAGCATCTTCTCTGTCCAGCAGCCACAGTGGCTCGTAAAGTCAGACACCTCTTTCATGATTTTTACTGACATGATGGGTGTTTAAATCAGAGGAACTCCACATGGTGGCTACTCCCACGGCCAAAATCTACCTGCACTTGGCTTGTGGTTACTTCCTACGTCTTTACCAAAAGGTTGTTCATTTCCGTGTTTCAGAAGTGTGAAGTGGGATGATGATGGTGTGTCGCCAGTTGTCCACTGTGGGCTTTGTCTCTCAGCATAGTCAGCGCTGTGTTGGAGAAATCCCTCAGGATGTCCACGGTCTCCCTCTGCAGCAGCAGAGACTCCTGCACAAACTCCTGCTGGCTCTCCACGAGCAGCTGCACGGACTGAGCCAACGTCTCCAGAGACTGAGACACCGAGGTCAAGAGCATCCTGCTGGCCCGCTGCTGCTGGAGGCTCTGAGAGGCCAGCTGGGCCACGTCGTCATTGGCCCTGCGGAAGGACGCTCCAGTGGGGAGAGGGTCGACCGGGTTTGAGCCCGACGTGGAGGGATGACTGGGTGGGGGGACTGAGGAGGAGGGAGAAGGTTGATGAGAGTTGGAAGAAGGGACACAAGAGGAGGGAGCAACAGAGGAGGATCCAGCAACTGAGGAAGCAGGAGGTGGTGGGATGAAAGTGGACGGGGGCGAAGGGTGAGAGGTAGAGACAGCGGCTGCAACAGAGGCGGGAGGAGGTGGGGGAGCGAATGAGGTGGGAGCAGGGAGAGAGGGGGCGGTCATGTTGGAGCGAGTGGGGGACTGTGGCGCGGGAGGCGCAGCAGAGGACGAGGCGGCGTCCAAATCTGATGGGAAAGCAGAGGAGGTGGAGGCCACGGGGGGAGGTCTGGGGTAAGCGTGGTTCGGGATGTGGTTTTGGTTCTGGTTGTTGTTTCGGGAGTAGGTGTGGACTGGCTTGATCCTCAGCAGGGCGTCGTCAGGCAGGGGGTCCAGGGAGGTGGAGGAGGGCGGGGGAAGAGAGGGAGGGTAGGAGGAGAACATGGCGTCGTCATTTTCGTCAAAATCCATGGTACGTTCTGGTAGATCACAGAGAGACAAACACGTCAGTCACTTTTAAATCCTCATCAATCTTCACTCTACTCTTTATCTCTGCAGCTCTTTGCCTCACAAACCCTAAGCAAATTTCAAGGACCGCCTTTTTTCACCTACGTAATATTGCGAAAATCAGGAACATCCTGTCTAAAAATGATGCAGAAAAACTAGTAAATGCATTTGTTACTTCTAGGCTGGATTACTGCAATTCCTTATTATCAGGCTGCTCGAAAAAGTCCATTAAGACTCTTCAGCTGATCCAGAATGCTGCAGCACGTGTTCTGACAGGAACCAGGAAAAGAGATCACATTTCTCCTGTTTTAGCTTCTTTGCATTGGCTTCCAGTAAAATCCAGAATAGAATTTAAAATCATTCTTCTTACCTACAAAGCTCTTAATGGTCAGGCACCATCTTATCTTAAAGAGCTCATAGTACCTTACTACCCCACCAGAGCACTGCGCTCCCAGAATGCAGGGTTACTTGTGGTTCCTAGAGTCTCCAAAAGTAGACTAGGAGCCAGAGCGTTCAGCTATCAAGCTCCTCTCCTGTGGAACCAGGTTCCAGTTTGGGTTCAGGAGGCAGACACCATCTCCACATTTAAGAGTAGGCTTAAGACTTTCCTCTTTGATAAAGCTTATAGTTAGGGCTGGCTCAGGTGAGTCCTGAACCATCCCTTAGTTATGCTGCTATAGGCCTAGACTGCCGGGGGATTTCCCATGATGCACTGAGCTCCTCTCTCCTCTACTTTCTCTCCCTCTGTATGCAACCTCATCCCATTATTGCATGTTACTAACACAACTTCTCCCCTTTCTGGTAGTCTTGTGCTTTCTCGGCCCTCTCCTCTCTCCTCCTGTCACTTCCTGCAGGTTTTCTGGCTCTGGAGCTGTGGAGTCTGGATCTGTGGTTGCGGGTCACCTGCTGCCCCCGTGTTCCTGCTCGACACCCTCTGCTGCAACGACTATTGTTACTAGTCCTATTATTATTATTGTTATTATAATCATTTACATTACGACTGTAACCATTAACACTACTATAAATATCTGTACCATTTTTCATTTAGTCTATAGCAACATCACCTTTACTGTCTGTACCTCTGTGTGGATATTGTGTAGGCTGCCTCCCTCCCCTCTCTCTCCTTCCATCCCTCTCTTTTTCTCTCTGTTCCTCTCCTGCCCTCTCTCTCTCTCTCTCTCTCTCTCTCTCCTTCACCCCCAACCGGTGGAGGCAGATGGCCTCCCACCCTGAGTCATGGTTCTGCTCGAGGTTTCTGCCTCTTAAAGGAAGTTTTTCCTTGCCTCTGTCTCCTAGTGCTGCTCTTGGTGGGAACTGTTGGGCTTCTGTAAATATCATCACAGAGTACGGTCTAGACCTGCTCTTTTATGAAAAGCGCTGTGAGATAACTGTTGTTGTGATTTGGCGCTATATAAATAAAATTGAATTGAACCAGTAACAAACCTGCTTGGGTTTCCTGTTTACTGCTCCCAGGCCACGCAGACTCAGCTAAGCTAACGGCGAACTGCGGTAGCAGCAGCTAGAGTGAGCAGCAATCTGTAGCTGTGTCAATCACAGAAGGTTGATGCAGTTTCACCAAAAGCAGCTAGCGTCCGGTTTAGCCCTCCGCTTTCTTGAATGGGGACAAAATGACTTTCGGACCAAATAGATGGAATTCTGATAGTGAAACAAGTCATTTTGCTTGTGAGACTTTATCCACCGTTTAACTTTCACAAAGTAAGTCTCTGGGAAAAAGTATGTCAGGGCCAGTGTGCATCAGGTGACAGACCAGGAAGTTGCAATTCCACTTTGGCCACAATGTCATATTGGTTTCAAAGCTCAAGACTGTATGGCTGCAGCAATAAATAAGCATTTTGTAAAACCGAATCATGCAAAGCTACTCTAATGGAGTTCCATAATGAAAATATAGAGCTGTAAAGGAGAGTAATAGGTCCCATTTAACTATGCAGAGACACCAACATCTCAAAGTCCTGGCACCAACAAACCCATGCTTCTTGTTATTTTAGATAATCTTGTGCCATTTAATTCCCCGCAGCCAGAACCAGCAGTCAGGTTACTTTGCTGGAAATACTGGATGTATAAAACACAATTCTTACCTCCGTCGTCACCCAGGTCTAAGTCAAAGTCAGAGGAGGAATGGAAAGGATCGCCTGCAAAACACAGCAGCGTAGAGGGCTCAGCAGCAGTTGAATGTTTTGCAATGCCAAAATGTCAAATTTTAAGTATTACAGAGAAAAAGCAATAGCAGACAGTGGAAAGAAATTCAACATGCATTTACATCAATCAGCTGTCATCGACCTTGCCTTTCCAATATCATCAATGAGATCTTTGTGACACTGTAAATAACGAGCGTGAGATCAGAGTCTGTGTCTTATAGTCCCTGCTTGTACAATCGTGCAGTGCAAAATATCACAATATAAAAAATTGGTTGTGTGGTTGTTTGATGGCAGAAAATACTGAAGCTGTTTTCTAAACTCTGGGCCATGTTCTTCGACTCTGTACTGGAAGTGTGTGTTAACAACAAGAAGAGTGGTCTCTCTGGCCGGGACTGAGATCCAAAGAGAGAGATCCTAATTGTTATACAATGCAAATAGCTGGTTTTCTATTCTCTTGTTCAGATTTTTATCGAAAGATAAACTTACCCTTTCTAGTATTCTTTTATAATAAGTGGTTGTTTATATTAATGTTCGATTCAATCCATTAAGTAATGTAGATATTCTGATGTTCATCTTTGTTTCTTAATCTTTTCGCCATTTGCCTTTATATATTTTATGTATATCAACTACACGGTCTGCTTATTTTCATCAGATGGGGGTTTTGCCAGCAGCCATAGCAACGTAAACCCTGTTTCTGCCGTGTGACTGAAGTGAAGCAGGTTTTGGGCTTGGCCAGTACCTCGGAAAACTAAGCTGCTTCCGGAAGAGGTGTTGGTGGGCCAGTAGGGGGCGGTCTTCCCTCTGGTCCTAATAATAATAATAATAATAATAGTAATAAGATCCCAGTGAAGGGGACACTGTGCTGTAGGAGCTGCCGTCCTTCAGATGCGACGTTAAACCGAGGTCCTGACTCTTTGTGGTCATTCAAGATCTCATGGCAAAATTCCCAACCTGGCTTTCACCATCTGGCCATCTAATCATCCCCAGTAGTAACTGGATCAATGCCCCCCCCCCGCCTCAGGCTCATGCGTGGTGAGCGTTCTGGCGCTAAAATGGCTGCCGTGCATCACCCAGGTGGGTGCTACACATTGGTGGTGGTTGAGGTGAGTCTCTCCCCACTTCACCATGAAGCGCTTTGAGTATCTATGATAAAGCGCTGTATAAATGTAAATTCATTCATTTTCTTGGCTGCCTCACTAAGAAGTTCGTCCCCGTCTCTTTTCAGAACCAACCTTGACTCGCGTGTAAAAATGCTTCCTGCCATCGCTCGACGCTGTTCAGTAACTGCACATAAAGTTGAACGGGGGAATGATGAAGAAAGCTGAATGAAAACTGTGCACTGTGGCAATTCTGGTTGCAAATCAGGGAACACACACCAATCCTGATCTCACTTTGGTTTCGGCTCGCTCTGGCAGCCACTTGGTAAATAAACAGTCTGCGTACAGATACTGGGCATGTAGAGAAACTGACTGGATTTCCTGCCCTGTTACTGGTCCAGACTCTCCGTATCCAGCTGTACTTACCGCCAAGTTCTTTCTCTGGTGACGAGAGAGGAGAAAATTCTAAGGGGGCCCCTCCGGGTAAAGAGTGGGAACTGTCTGTCAAGTTGAGGTAGGAGTAAGCTGGAGGGTTAGAGGGTGGGCCTTTACTGTAAAGCTTTGAAAAATCATCATCTTCAGCCAGGTCCAGATCACTGTCGCCGTCTGAGAACCAATAAATGAAAACTGGTGAATAAAGGTTGGTTTTTGTTCAACACCTCATCTGTTTTGATTTCAGTGCGCTACACATAAATCTGCTCCTGCCTTTGGATCTAGGACTGCAGCGAACGATGATTTTTAGAGTTCGAGTATTCGGCAGATTATTTCATTGATGTTTAAGAAGTACTTTTGCTTGGCGGCTTACCGTGTAAGTTGAGTGAATAGAGACTGCAGCTCGTCAAGATTAAAGCGGAGCCACCATGTTTAACCCCCCCACCTCGCAATCGGCGTGCACAAAAACACACATGATTTGACTATCAGTCGACTATCGGCAGCACTTGGCGATTCTGATTCGACCATGTAAATCCTTAGTCGGGACAGCCCTAGATTCTACTGGTGCTTTCAGACCAAACGCTTTAAATTCGCTGCAAGTGTTCACACACAGCGCAAAAAGGCGATGAGAACCTGCAAAAATTCTCTCGAGCTGGAAATGTTCAACTCGCGCGAAGGCTTTTGGGTCTCCGGCCCCGCCACCTTCGCGTCTTTGCATTGACTTTGTATGTAAACTCACAGCCCCGAACACTCGCTTCGCTTCTGGTCTGAAAGCACAGTTCGTATATATATTTCATGACTCTTTAGAGTCGTTAGTATATTATTACACTTAGGAGAAGTACCATTCCTCGAGATTCAGCAAATAAATGTGGCGATAACCACGTCTGATCAATGTGCACAGCAAAGTCTCTGAAAAGAACTTAAGAGGTGAATGCATAATTCGGCAGAACAGATGTTGGAGGCTACCTGCTGAGATTTGCATCCACGTCTTTTCAGCAGAACCTACCGCGAGGTGCGTGAGATTCTAGGCAGGTGTGCAGAATTTGGCCTTCACGGTGGACGGACTGTGACATTACAGAGTTGTTTTCTTTTAGCTTGAAATAATCCCAGACTTTGGACAATTTCTATTTCGTCCCTCCACTTTGCAAACAGCGCCATCATAATCATCATAATCACAGAGGGTTCACTTGATCGCAGCACAAGCGCCATGCGCGACAGTTATAAATGTCCGTGCGAAACAGTGTGCTATATAGTTATATGGATTAAACGAAGCATCTATCCAAAGAATTTGTGTCGATACTTTTTTGTGATGGAATTAATCGTTTCAGCCCCATTTGAAAGATCTGAATTATTGTCTAGTACCTTCTGCAACAACAAATTCATAGACAATCCTGTCGCCATGTGCATTATACGAAACAAAACAAATTAAGCTGTCATGTTTGTTGTCCTAGCAGGACCTTTTACTACTTTTTTACCCATTTCATGAGCAAAACCTGTCTTATGCTTCATTCTAATATGCATTCGGGCTCTCACAATAAAGGCTGTAGTACACAGACAACACCTCGCTCTCTTCACGTGCTTCTCCTCACCTCCTCTAGGACTCAGCATCAGTATCTTATGGACCATCCTCTCCACGGGGCCCAGGTTCTTCTTCCTCAGGTGGCTGCCGTTGGGGCCCCGGAGGGCGACGATGCGCCGCTTTCCATCGCACTTGAGGTCGGCCCATTTCTTCATGATCTGACGCACCTGAGAAAATGAAATGTAAGTGAAACTAACAGAACGGAACTTTTATTATCAATTAGTCATTTATCAAGCTCAAATGCTCGTGGACTGCACTGCTTCTGTTCTGCATGGTTAATTGAATATCTTTAACTTTTGGGCTTGAGGACATCAGCTTTGATTTTCACTCTTTCAAAGTTTTTTAAAGACAAAATGATGAACTGATTAAAAAACGTTAGACTCCACAAGGACTCACAGAATAAGACTGAGGGGTTTTGAGGATAGAAAAAGAGAAACATATTTCTGCTACATAAAATGTTATTCTTTTTAAATGTTGTTTCTCTTGTGAATTAATGGACAATTCTATCCTCAAAAGACCTCGATAAATTATTCCATCAAAACAAAATTATAAGGAAGGGTCAGTCTTTAAATGAACTGGTTGGTGTGCAAGGGATCTTAGTTTTAAGGGGTTGCAAGTAAATAATTTAGGAACCACTGGTGTAATCTATCAGAAAAGGCTGAACATTCTGAACTGCTGATGAAATGTAGATTTGATATCTATAGAGAGAGTATACCTCAAAGTTACACAGGCAGCCTGTAAATTCAGCCCAGCAGCATCACTAACATCACTAAACCTGTGACCACAGGAACAAACCTCTCGGTGATTCTCTCCCAGGCCGTTGATCTGATTCGTGATTTCAATCCAGGTGGCTTTCTTGGCTTCAGCCGACACACCTTGGTTAAACTTCCCTACAGAGAGACCGAAAATATGATGTGAGACGTGGTTGGCGTGAGAAACATCTGTAACCATTGTGGTTTTTGTCAACCCACACAGTGAATCTGGCTCAGTCTCTCCCTCTGCTGGGAAACATCTTTACATGCAGGTTTGAGTGCACACACAGTTCACAATGTAGCTACAGGCCAACCACACTGTTTGTTTTGTCTCAAAATGCATGCTTTATGTTTTCATATTAACAACAACACTTTCACTGCCGTTAGGTTGGACACATAGTTTATCTGTCGGGCCACCGAAAAAAGACTAATCCCGACCGGCCATGAGATGTCACAGGCGGGTAGATTTGGTTTCTGTTGAGTCCACGTCGCAGTGATTTGGTCAATAGGATCAATACGTTATCCAGGAGACTCAGGAGAACACAGAAGAGGAAAAACGCCCCCAGAACCACTTCACAACTCTAATCTCAGAACCAAATCTGTGTCACCAAGTTTTCACATACTGTTTTCTTTTCGTTCGGTCCTGTGACCCGCTTCGCTTTTCTGTCCGTTCACTCACAAGCGGTCAAAGTATGCACACACTCTTCACGTGGTACGCTCCATAGCGTTTGTTCGTGTAGTGTACCTATTTGCTCACACCTTCATATGATAGGTCAAGTGGCCAATGAAACATGATCTTTACATCAAGTGGGCTCTAAATATAACTCCGCTAAGCTACCCAGCCAACGGATGCATCTGTCCACAAATTAATAGAATATTACTTTCTGCAGCATTTTCCACATGGTATTGTGCAACATGATATTGCAATAACGATACTGAGTCAAAATATTGCGCACACCTAAGTCGGACATGTGGAAACACGGCATTTACGACGGCTTCACACGTCAAGTTTCAATTAGTGGAGCGAGACAACAGCCTGTCACTGCAGATTCAGACCACGCCAAAGAGTGTTTATCGCTGCAGACATGCGACCACTCTCGGCCGTAGAGAACACAGAATTTAAGGATATTGTCAGTGTTTGAGACCCTAAAATTAGGTATTTACCGCACCGTGATTTTTGAGTAAAATTGCACCCCTACTTTTAAGCAATAAAACAAAAATTCTCTCTCAGGTGACACTAAGCTTGATAACTTCGGACAAGGCGCAGCCCAAAGGAATAACAGTCCTTCCTACTCACTGAGGATGATGTATCGGTTCCTCTTCACCGCCTCTAGCAGCACTTTGACCTCCGTGAAGGAGAACCTCGGCTTAGATCTCAACCCAGCCTTTACTCCTCCCACCTTGAACTCTTCATCATCTTCACGCCACGAGGTCGACATGGCTCCGCCTCGTCAACTCCTCCTCCTCTGACGGCCCACTACAACTCAGCTTGGTCCCGAGTCCAATTTCACCGCCCTCCAGGACTGTTTGGTCCTTGATGGAACTGGCAGTCTGGACTAAAAACACCTGTCTGACTGCAGGAGAGAGAGAGAAAAGGGAGACAGTACAGAGGGGAGAATGCAAGACAGAGAGATAAAGAACCAAGAAGGAAAATGTAAAATTATGAATTATGTAACGGAGTAAAAAGATCTAAGAAACGCACAATATCCCAAATATTTCACTCTACTGCACACAAACTTATAAAAATGGACCGGCATCATGAGCTTGGCAACATCACTGCTTTACCGCTGTGCATTTTACTGAACAAAAGTTTATAAGATTACACTTATTTTTTTAATTCAATTCAATTTTATTTATATAGCGCCAAATCACAACAACAGTTATCTCACAGCGCTTTTCATAAAGAGCAGGTCTAGACCATACTCTGTGATGATATTTACAGAAGCCCAACAGTTCCCACCAAGAGCAAGCACTAGGAGACAGAGGCAAGGAAAACTTCCTTTAAGAGGCAGAAACCTCGAGCAGAACCATGGCTCAGGGTGGGCGACCATCTGCCTCCACCGGTTGGGGGTGAGAGAGAGAGAGAGAGAGAGAGAGAGAGAGAGAGAGAGAGAGAGAGAGAGAGAGAGAGAGAGAGAGAGAGAGAGAGAGAGAGAGAGAGGGGAGGGAGGCAGCCTACACAATATCCACACAGAGGTACAGACAGTAAAGGTGATGTTGCTATAGACTAAATGAAAAATGGTACAGATATTTATAGTAGTGTTAATGGTAACAATCGTAATGTTAATGATTATAACAACAATAATAACAATAGGACCAGCAACAATAGCTGTTGCAGCACAGTGTGCCGAGCAGGAACACGGGGGCAGCAGGTGACCCGCAACCACAGATCCAGAGCCAGAAAACCTGCAGGAAGTGACAGGAGGAGAGAGGAGAGAGACGAGAAAGCACAAGACTACCAGAAAGGGGAGAAGTTGTGTTAGTAACATGCAATAATGGGATGAGGTTGCATACAGAGGGAGAGAAAGTAGAGGAGAGAGGAGCTCAGTGCATCATGGGAAATCCCCCGGCAGTCTAGGCCTATAGCAGCATAACTAAGGGATGGTTCAGGACTCACCTGAGCCAGCCCTAACTATAAGCTTTATCAAAGAGGAAAGTCTTAAGCCTACTCTTAAATGTGGAGATGGTGTCTGCCTCCTGAACCCAAACTGGAACCTGGTTCCACAGGAGAGGAGCTTGATAGCTGAACGCTCTGGCTCCTAGTCTACTTTTGGAGACTCTAGGAACCACAAGTAACCCTGCATTCTGGGAGCGCAGTGCTCTGGTGGGGTAGTAAGGTACTATGAGCTCTTTAAGATAAGATGGTGCCTGACCATTAAGAGCTTTGTAGGTAAGAAGAAGGATTTTAAATTCTATTCTGGATTTTACTGGAAGCCAATGCAGAGAAGCTAAAACAGGAGAAATGTGATCTCTCTTCCTGGTTCCTGTCAGAACACGTGCTGCAGCATTCTGGTAAAGTGTAAAGTAGGTTTCAGGTTCCAGTTTGGGTTCAGGAGGCAGACACCATCTCCACATTTAAGAGTAGGCTTAAGACTTTCCTCTTTGATAAAGCTTATAGTTAGGGCTGGCTCAGGGAGTCCTGAACCATCCCTTAGTTATGCTGCTATAGGCCTAGACTGCTGGGGGATTTCCCATGATGCACTGAGCTCCTCTCTCTCTCTCTTTCTCTCCCTCTGTATGCAACCTCATCCCATTATTGCATGTTACTAACACAACTTCTCCCCTTTCTGGTAGTCTTGTGCTTTCTCGTCCCTCTCCTCTCTCCTCCTGTCACTTCCTGCAGGTTTTCTGGCTCTGGAGCTGTGGAGTCTGGATCTGTGGCTGCAAGTCACCTGAACTGTTGGGCTTCTGTAAATAACATCACAGAGTTCGGTCTAGACCTGCTCTTTTATCAAAAGCGCTGTGAGATAACTGTTGTTGTGATTTGGCGCTATATAAATAAAATTTAATTATTATTACATTTGGATAAAGAAAAGTCACCTGCACCTGCCATCTGAATTTCCTGAAAACGAATAAAGCCCGAGTAAGACACCATGGTGTCGAAATGTTAGTCTGTTTGCAAAATTAAAACCTGAAAATCGATCATTGTGCTTCAGCATGTGGTTTAACGCCACTGGTAATCAGAAAAACTGTCCAATCAGTGTTAATAATTAACTAATAATACATTATGTATATTTTACATACACTCATTTGACAGACTCTTTTGTCCAAAGTAGCATTCAAGTTAATGCATCTCACGAATACACAGAAAAAGGGATGTAAAAATACTCAAAACGACCATTATTTTGTTTGAATCATTTAAGTCACATAGAAGCATGTTTATTATTTAATACTTTCTCATCCATTGAAGCACAGGAAATGTTTTTTTCTGCCATGTGGATCATCCTGTCCGACACTTGGTGGCAGTATATAACCGTATCCAAGTACAAAACCGTGAGCGTTTATATATATAAATGCATGTTTCATAGCCAGGACTGCTCAACATTTCAAAAATATGGTAAAAGCCGGTAGCAGGTGCACAAGTTCGAACACACTTGGACTATAACTGCAGCTAACAGTGACATAGAGTAATGTAGTGAAAACTGAATCCCCAGACTTGGTAAAACTAATTATTTCAGACAGCACTAGACCTGTGATGACTTCTGTTCTCGTTCCTTATCTATTTGGTGTCACCTGAGATAACCTGGGCTCTACATATAAGCTACCTGATCTCGTCTCAGCTGGGTCACAGCTGCTCATACTCCACCAGAAGCAGAGCCACACCTACATCGAGAGTCTCGACATCTCATTTCAACACTACAGCCAAGTAGTGTTTTACACATACGAGCAATTTGCTGTGGTGATGAGGTGCTACAAGTAGACAAACATGCAGTCGACATAAATAAGTGTACAAATATATAAATATGGAATGGAAGAACAACGTTGCAAATATATACATGTGCATTATTCTGGGTCTGTGCCGTGCAGAAGTAATGCAACGGAAGAGAATACTGTGTACATATAAATATATAAACTGACAACATAAAAATATACAACAAGAAGATCAACAATCAGTAGCCAGTAGGTTTTTAAGAATGTTAATCACCATTAACCAGAAATTACACCATGGTTTGGCTGTAGTAAAAATAATCTACAAAGACCAACCCAAACAGAGATGTTAGGACAATAAGAAAGAAAACATATTTGAGTAATAAGCTTCTTAAAATTGGACTGGAGTTGTTTTCTCCGGCATGAGCCAAGAACATCCTGTTTTTCTTAAGCTTCAGTCCCTACACCGCCCTCCACTGGTTGGATTTTAAAGTGAAGACCTTATCTTCCATATTCCTTATTATTCTTTTTAATTTTGTCAATTTTATATTTAATATAACTCCTCTCCCCCTGTAATATGTTTAACAACCCATATCCGGAGTAAAGCACATGTAAGTATATTTATTTTACACATAGTTCGATAATTCTTTTATAACTTGCACATCTGTTTTGAATGTCTTTCCGTTAATGTTTCAGATACAAAATAATAATGATTTACCGGCAGTAGTGGACAGAGACCAAGTACATTTACTCAAGTACAGTAGTTAAGTACAAATTAGAGGTTTACTTGTAGTAGTATTTTCTTTCCATGCTACTTTCTACTTCGGCTCCACCCCATCTCAGTGGGACATCTTGTTCTCTTTACTTCACTACATTTATGTGACAGCTTCAGTTACTTTACAAAGTCAGAGTTTATAAAATACGATGTTTAACAGTTTAGACAAGTCCAGGTGAACAATTAGTCGTTTCTTTTGTTGTTTTTTTTTATGTAAAAACATTTCATGTTTCCAAATGTGACAGATTTGCTGCTTTTCCTTTAAATCAGTTTAATTATTTAAATGTTTGGTAGTAACATTGAGCTTTGGACTGTTGATTGGACAAAACAACGCATTATGAAGGTGTGTCTTTGCTCTCTGGGTAACTCGCTATTTTCTTAACCTTTACCAATCAAACAAATAATTGATTAACAGGGAAAATAATCATTGGTTTCAGTCGAAACGAAATGAGATCCACCTCAACAACATTAAAATCCTGCTTGTACATGAATGCACAAATAATAATTATCTGTCTTCAGGGAGAACTTTTATACTTTATATATTTACCTGTATACTGTATATTATACTTACATACTTTTACTTACGTAACATTTTCAATGCAGGCTGGTACTGGTAACAGAGTATTTTTACAGTGAGGTATTAGTACTTGAATCTCTGAATACCTCATCCACCAATGTTTCCTGGTGAAGTTGGACATTTTTCTATCAGTGGATGGCAGAAGTTAATTTCCCACTCAACAGGTGAAATCTGTAAAGACTAGTGAAGCTTTTTAAATTAATATAATTGTATTTTCATCCTCAGTGCGCAGGCGCGCTGTTAATATTTACCTGTTCATTCATTCACGAAGGTAAAACTTGTCAAACTAAAATAACATAAATTAGCATTGCGTTTGCTCTGACCACGTGGTCCGTCGGAGCCAATCAGCTGTGACCTCCTCCTGTCTTTGTTGAGCTCGCGCCTGCCTCTCCCCTGCTGCCTCGTGCCTCTCGGCTCGCAGGGAGCTGCCCACCGACTCCGCCATCTCTGTCCGGTACACGGCGCTGAACCGCTGCTACGTTAAAACGGCAAAAGCCCGACCTACGGCGGCTTTCGGTAGTGATACGTAGATTAATCGTGGGTGTAAAACGCCGCTTTGCTTTGTGTGCGCCGGTCCGCTGCGCCATAACTGCCAGGTCAGCTACGCGAGCATCGGCGGCTTGGAAAGAGGACGAACTGTCTCCAAGCTCCGTACGCTCTTTTTTAAAGATCGTGTTGCAGCTTTGTTTAACGCTAAATCGACACGTGTGTTGTCTTTTAATAATAATGAATGCGGTGCGCGGCGTAAAAAGGTGCATTTGTAGAGAATAATTACCAGGGAAAATGGCGTTGTTCGCTCTCTCTCCCCTCCTTCTTCCTCCGCGGTTCTCCCGAAAGTTCGGAGTGACGAGAACAACGGAACTGCGCAGACTCCGACAATCTTTTTTTCCCTCCCTTGAACGCGCAACATTTTCAGCTCGCTGCGCGCGCGCCCCCCAGCTGCCCCAGATAACAGTGTGCAACGTTCAGGCCCAAATGCATCAAAACTAACGAATTCTGCACTAATTAATACACACTTTGGGTATTCATGGGAAAACTGATGATTACAACACTTATAGTCCAACATGTACGCCATATTTTTATGCACATTTATTTATTCATATTTTAACAACTGAATCACAACAAACACCAATATGCATAGGCTCTAGTTGCGCCACTTTGTCCTTGCAATTATCTTCACCCTCCTGTGAGAAAAGTACGGAGGCCTTGTTCAGGTGAGCCAAGGTCACCAACTGCTTTGTGCTAACATATAATTAATAACCACGCCATTAAACAAACCACTGATTCCAGCATTACTCCACGACACACAAGACTGGCTGCTTGTGAACAACAACGACAGAGCAGCTACAATAAAGTCACACAAAAGATCTAATTGGCTATAATGAGAAACACAAAAAGCACAACACAATAACATTTTCTCTTTTCAACAAATGCTGTGATTCCTGTTAGTTTGACAGTGTAAGTGAGATCAAATCCCCCCTCCTTCTTCTTATGGAATAACATTAAGAAAAACAAACCAACCCATCGTGATTTCACCACCATTTTCTATCAACACGGAGAAGAAAGAAGATGGGAGGGAGGTCAGGAGGAGGAGGTTCCCTGTTTGCTCCGCTTGGTGTCGCCAGAGATCCTCCTCTGGGGACAAATGCGTGTTTCCTTCTTGTGGGCAAAACCCTGCAGCGCCTGCAGAGGGCGCCATCATGCACGTGTTTCACCCTCTGTGCAACATTTCAGCCTAGAGAAAGGGGGGAGGGGTGTGTGGGTTACACTCATGTTTACATTGGGAAATAAACTGGTTGCTGGTAGTGTATTTGTTCTTTTGAGAAATGTGGACATATATTCTGCACACAGAGTTATCCTTTAGTTTTTTTAAATATCTGTCCGGTACAAGAGAAAGGCCACACGCCCCGGCCCACGGAGTCGCTCTTCGCTGTGCTGCTCTCCACATGTTCACCTTTTGTGAAATGATTTCTTGATTTATGTGATTTGGTTGTTGTCTGATTGTGCTCTCTGCTGCTGCTGCTGGTGGTGATGGTGCCGCTGCACTGACCCAGTTTCCCCACAGGGATCTGATCTAACTCTCTGCTGAGTGACCGCAGAGGCCACCTTGAGGGGAAATACGAAGTGTGAAATGCAAAGCGACAAAGGCCTTGCTGTGAAATCCCCACAGAAATAGAGTCATAATAATCACGCGACACCTTTCAAAAAGGGTTATGTCATATCCGTGTCACAGCAAAGACTATACCTAGAATAAATAGGAATACTATAACACGAGATAATGAACACTTCATGGGTCTCTGTAACCTCACTACTGACTGTAGCAGAGAAATAACATCCAGCAAGTTTTCACGATGAAAACACTATGACCTACATTTAAAGCATGGAATGACGGCGGCAACACTTTGGCACAGCATGCAAAAGCATAGTAACTGCAGGTAGTAGGGAAAAAATAGAGTGAAATGGAAGAGCGCTCCTTCTATCGTTTCATGAGGTTGTTGGCTTTCTGGTTGGCAGCGTCGATGCGGGACATGTTGAGAATGGCCTGCAGAGAGAGAAAAGAACAGGAAGTGAACCTGGAGGACAGAACCTGTCAGGGTCTGTCTTTCAAATTAAAGTTTGCTTTACTGCAAATACTTCCCAAAGCAGGCTGTGCACTAAATCAATGTTCAGATATTGCTACATACTATAGTATAGAAATATTAAAAAGGAAAAAAAAAACATGTTTTTCGTAGATTTATCTTTTCTCTTCATGGAAAATAAAAAGACACAATTATGCATTTACTCTACTTATTAAAGCCGGGGTAGGCAGTTTATTTCTCTGCTCTGACTTGCTCTAAATAAAAAAATCGCACGCTGTGCATGAACAGGGGCGTGGCTTTGGAGGGAGGATTGTTTTGTTTTTGGTTGAATGTTGGATTGGACCGGTCATCAGCTAGTCCAGAATGCAGCCGCTCCACTTCTAACTGGGAACATTACTCCAGTTTAGCTTCGCTCCACTGGCTTCCTGTACGCTTTAGGATTGATTTTAAGATTTTATTGTGTTTTGAAGGTGTTAAATGGGTTGGCACCTTCTTATTTACCTGATCTTTTACTTCTTTACACTCCTGTCAAAGCGCTAAGGTCGTCCAATCAGATGCTCCTCAATGTTCCCACATCCAGGTTAAAAAACAAAGGTGGCCGAGCCTTTTTGGTGGCTGCTCGTAATCTCTGGAATATTTGATATATTCAAATAGGAAGTCCTTGCTTAATACCCTCCTCTACTTGTTGCCTTTCAATTTGGATTGAGTTGTGACACCTTTTCTACCCTCTTTGTTTTGTGTATCCTGAGCTTGGAAAGCACTTTGGTGAACTATGGTTGCTTTTAAATGTGCTATATAAATACATTTGATTGATTGACTGACGAGACTACTGCTGCATTTAATCAGTGGCATCAGACACTGTAAAGCGGTGGTAGGTGTGGATGTGAAAGTGAACGGTTGTGTGCGTCTTTTAGCAACCTGTCCAGGTGCACAGCGTCAACGTGTGCCAGGATACGCTCTCAGCCCCTGCAACCCTGCACAGTATCAGCAGTATATTTAATGGATGGATGGATTTATCATTTCATTTATCACATATTATCATATTGTTTTCCTCTTTTCTGGATTATGTCACACTGTGATTAGTGATGTTTCTGTTATGATCGGTTTGTTTCATAACTCCTGTCTGCAAAAAATATATTATTATATATTTTCTGATATTTGGTGGCGTTCTGTGACGTACTGTGATGTCTGTTGATACCTCATGAAACAGCGCTAAAGGCTGGAATGTACCTTTCCCTGTATGCGGTCGATCTGGACGTTCTGCGTGTCTATCTCGTTGCTCATGTCCAGGGCCATGCTCTTCAGATTCCCGATGATGCTGCCGACATGCGTCAGGTTCTCCTCCATCTCGTCCTCGCGGGCATCCTTAGTCACCCTGAGATTGAGCAGAACAAAACGCGTGTGTGTGTGTGTTTGTGATAACGTCCTGTTTGGCCAGCTGCCGGCGTGACTGATGACTGGGTAGTATTACATTACGCCACACAGCTGCCTCTCCTACACACTTCATTAAACTCTCCTATTACGATCTCTCTCTACCTCCCTATGTATCCTCCGCTCATGATCATTTGCTCCCTCTCATCGACGACTCGAGACGACGGCGGCTGATTGGACATGACGCCATCTTGACCGGAAGCTCCGCCCCAAACTGCCTTGTACGCCCCGCTTTCCTCAAAGGCCTTCAGTCTCAGAGAGAGAGAGAGAGAGAGAGAGAGAATGACCTTATCAATTCCTTTTTATTGTGAGTTCAGCCAGTTAAATGTGATGCACAGGAGCCACGCTGTACCCATGCTAGTACCAAGAGGCTCCAGCACAACATTTTCTTTCTTATTAGAATACAGGCTTGGATTTCTCAAATCTGCTTCCAGCTCAAGTGCCTGTTGGTAATGCATGCATGGTACTTTTCCAGTGTAGGCACAGCAGCGGATGCTTTATACAGCAGAGATCAAAATATGTTGTAAGATGATATCTAAACAGCTGAAAATCCTTTCAGCAGCAAAGCAAGCCAAGAGCAACAAAAGAAAGCTTAAGCATCTAAAGTATGAAAACTAGTGGTGGCGGAAAACTCATTTAAGCAAGTGTTTGTCTATGTAGATTTTCCATGTGCTCTATCCAATGAACGACACTAAATGAAATTATGAAACAGAATAGATCATGATGTCACTACTTCAAATGAAAACTGATTGCAATCTTCTGGTGATCATCATGTCCTTACCTCAGAATAATGTGCACCAATCAAACACACACACACACACACACACACACACACACACACCTCCACCTCCACCTACTTATCACAGGAGCAGAGGCCACAGCACTTGCCCAAGTCTGTCAGGTTTTTCTCGGCCTCCTTCATGTCAGAATTGATCTGATCCAAGCCCTCCTCTACACGCTCCAACTGCTCTATGAGAGGAGAAGGAGCAGTGGGGGAGGGGGGAGGAGGATGGAGGAGGATGGAGGAGAAGGCAGGGGAAGAGGAAGAAAGGAAGAACAAAGGTGGACATGGGGAAGAAGGGGGAAGGGCAAGACAGAGGGGGAGAAGTGGGAAAAAGAAAGGAGGTGGGAGAGGACGGTGAAAGTACAAGTGAAGTATGGGTGAAGAAGGTGAAAAGAGGGGGAGGAGGGCCAGCAAGAAAAGAGGTAAACAAAAGAGGAGGAGACAGGACAATAGAACAAATGAAAGGAGAGGATGGTGGAGGGGAGCAGAGAAGGAAGGCAAAACAAAATCCAAAACAGAAAGAAATCACCAACTATTTCCCAAAAGCCCCGCAGCTGAACTGATAAACCAGCCACCATTAAGTGAACACGACACGTCCGAAACTAAAAAGCAAACATTTACACTCACAAATCATAACTAACTCTGAAGAACAGGGCCCTACTATGGCTGTTATAGTGCCCAGTTCCATTTTGGTTGAATTGGACTGAGGTATAATGTTAATGGAAGATTGGACCTGAGGAGGGTTAATGAGGACAGTTTGACTGCAGAATGATATCTCCAGTATTTGTACTAGCTGACATAAAAATGCATATGGGTGCATTTAAAGAGTTTAGCTTGTTCCAGAAACGACGTGACAAAGGTGAATATAGCCATAATCTGTTATTTCCCCCCAAAAAGACACGCCTTTGTTCCCATTCTGTATTTTATACTGTACTAAACGCTTAAAATAGAAAAGAGTTAAATAATGACTACATTTAAGTAGCAATCGAGTGTGTTTGTGCACATACGTTTTGTATTTATCTCCTAATGTCTTTATTGTGCAATTACTTATTAAAAACACAGAAATAAAGAATCAAGTGCATGCTCATGATGG